CACACACACACACACGCGCGCGCACGCACGCACGCACGCACGCACACACGCACGACTCTCTCGCTCTCTCTCTCTCTCTCTCTCTCTCTCTCTCTCTCTCACACATACACAAAAACACACACACACACACACACACACGCACCGCATCCACGGGCTGTCGCGCTGCATCAACATAGCGCTGGCCACTATAGCGGCATCAGTGGCGGCCATGGTGCACAACGGGGTTTATTGCTGTCCGAATGGTGGCCCGTGCAGGTGGCGACATTGTGTAGTTCATACCTCCAGAGACCATTTTCTCATAGAGGTCGCTCTCTCCTTAGAGCCTTCCTCCCCAAGCAGAGAGCTTGGCATGCTTCGCATGCCTCCATGGCGGCTGGACGAGGCCTCCTGGCGGGAGGGCCTCTGGGAAGCGACGCTGGAAAAGATCCTGGAGCAGCTTTGCATAGGTTACGCTGCCGAGGCATGGGTCCAGTAGCTCCCTCCCGCGGCATGCTCCTGGGTGGCAGGCGCGGCAATAAGGGATAAGATTGTTCAACCTCATCATGGGATTGGCACTCACTCGCCGGCCGGTTGGCGTCAGCATCTGCCGGGGCAGCCAGAGATCGACGGCGCACCCCTGCGCCGCTGCCGGGCGGCCCACAGGACGCCCTGCGACAGTCGGGTTCGGGAACGAACAAACTCGCGGCCTGCATGCGGGTCTTGTCGCCGCCAGAGCTGAGGATCGCGGAAACCATTCTTGGCCCCGATGACTTCCACCTCACTCTTCGGTGGCAACTCATGGGAGCCTCTCACACCATCTTGTCGGCTCTTGCGAATCGACGCTAATTTGACGCTAAATCGACGCTACTCGAAGGTAATCGACGCTAGATCGACGCTGACCGACGCTAAATCGGCGCTATCTCATCGGTTCAGGGTATACCAGGCTCAAAATGATTTGCTACCGAAGGAGGTTGACAGGGCCATCGGCGCACCAGAACCGGCGAGCGCGACTACGCCAGCCCTCCTTCCGAGAACGCCCCTGCTCCTGAGCAGGGGGCCTGCCCCAGAACGGCGGCCTGGCTTCTCCTGAGGCTCACGGGGCCCCGCTGCCCGGCGGTCCGTCCGCGGGACCTGATGGCCAGCTGCGCAGTGCCCCATACACAAGGACGGCCCCGTTGACGAGGGAGGAGCAGTTCAGGATGATCGAGGTCGAAACCCAACTTGGCCGTTGGCAAGAGATCGTAGTCCTCTTCCGGGTCCGCCTGGAGCTGTGGTCCAAAACCGCGCCCGGGCAGTGGGCACATCCGCGATGGAGGAGATGCCCCCCTGCTTCTCCACGACCTGGGCGCCGAGTCTGCCTCCTCAGGGCAGCCGCCGTGGGCGATGTCCGGGGACCTCCAAAAGGCCTTCCTGCGCACGCGGCGGGAATCACTCCTGGTCCGCCTCGCGGAGACAGCGGGCCTCGCCGACGGGGGCACGATCGGCCCCTTCACTTTCCCGGCGCGCATGGACACCCCCGCGGAGATGCTGCGAGCAGCAGGCTGCGGGGTGGGCACAGGGGCAAGCACCCCTCCAACCTGGGCGCAGCATAGGTGGCTGGGCACGGGCATGCCAACCCAGGGGGCAACGGCGGTGCTACTACAGGCACTGCAGAATAAACAAGCGCCCCCCTCCTCCATGCAGCTTGCAGCGGATGGGACCTGGAAGCGTCTGCCCTCGCAGCGCTAGAGGCTTTTGCGCCAATGCGGTTGGCGGTCATCCTCCACGCGGACGATCCCGCGCTACCGGCGTCCTCGCGCGGAGCCGCTCAGCGGTCGCAGACAGTGATGGCGGAGTGGGCTTTTTGCCCCAAGAATTCCCCACACCACAACCGGCTAAACATGCTGTCGTGGTCCGCGGAGGCGAGCACGCGTGAGCCGCAGGTGCAGCTGCCCCGCCAGCGGTCTTCCCGCTACGCGGCCCACAACCCATTCAGCTCCGTGTGCCCTCGTCGCACACATGGCTCGGTCTGCGATGGGACGGGAGCCTGTCTCTGGAGCGCATGCTGGGCCGCCGCCCGGGGGTCGGCATCCGCGCAATGCACCACCCTGGCGGGACATGTCCCCAGCGGTCTCCTACTCCTGCTTCTGCGCCATTGCGGACGGGGTCCTCTCCAGATTATTCGAATACCACGCAGCGTGGGCGCGGACACTCCTCGACTGCCCCAGCCTTAGCTGAGGTTGGCTGGACGCCCTCGCGTTCGCGGCGCGCGGTCCTAAATGTCGCCTCGAGGCGGGAGGGCCTCTGGAGGCTACCAGAACACGATCTCTGCAGGGCACTTTTCGTACGCGCGCACCTGGCGCCTGGGCGCACGTGGTCGCGAGCATCGCTGCATTTACTGCCGTCCTGGGATCTGCCAGACTGGCCGGCCTGAGAGGCTAACTGCCCAGAGTCCCGCCTGGAGGCGCACAGCACCCGCCTGGGAGATCGTGGAAGAGAGCTGTCGGAGGCAGCTGGTCCAAAAGCTGGTCCTGAACAAGCGACCGCTCCCTTAGTCCTTTCCCCGGGCGGGGGGGTCTGGCGCAATCTGTCCAAATCTTCCTCGCTGTGGCTCAGCTGGGAAAAGCTCCGAGGCAAGAGGGCGCCCGCGCGCCTCCGCGACCGCCCTGCGCGTCTTACCCGCGTCAGGGGCGATCGCTCGCGGGCTCGTCGCCGGAGCTGCCTCTGCTGCGGCGGCATCACCCACAGCCCCACCCTGCATGTGCTCGCCACCTGCGCGAAGACAGGCCCCCCCCCAAGCAACTCTTCTGGCAAGCGAAGGGTAGGGATGTAACGTCCGACAAGGAGTTCAGCGCCAGGGGGGCCTTGTCTGTGCGGCCTGGCGGCAAAGGATACGCTGAGGCGGCTGCGCTGGCGATTTCCTCGAGCAGGAGGAGGCAGAGTCTTGGGCAGGACCACGGGAGAAACGAGTCATCCTCGCCTCTAGGGGTGACCCCAACTCCCTCCGTTTTCCTGGTCCCGCAGCTGCGCACTGCGTCTACATGAGGCGGCCAGCAGTACTGAATGGAGTCCCTGCCGCAGAGGTCCCCGCAAGGAGCCCCTCCCCGTGCTGTCCCCTCCGCCCCCCCGCGCTCGCTGCTCGGGCGAAGGCGCAGTTCTTCTGCGCAGGCCGAGGTTCGGAGGCGGGCAGGGAGCGGGCTGGGTGGCCGTGGACCGCCCCCCCCCCCGCCCTCCCCCTCCCTCCCATTCCCCGCACGAGCGAGCCTGCCCCGTCCCTGGGTGGCCGTCGCGGAGTCGACGCAGTCGCATTATTTGGCCCTGCAGTCCTCCGCCACAGGACCCGAGCCCGCGGGCCCAACATACAGTCCTCTACGGGAGGACACCTATCTCATCCTCGTCCTCCTCCTCCTCCTCCTCCTCCTCCTCCTCCTCCTCCTTCTCCTCCTCCTCCTCCTCCATCCCTCCATCCCTCCATCCAGTTCCCTTCGCCTTGCAAATAGCGATTCCCTGTCGCATCCCCAGGCTTGTCTGTAGGGCGGGCCGGGCGTTTCGCACGAGACTTCCTCACCGAGGCTCGGCACCTGCCACAGCTCCAAGGGAAGAGCGAACAGCGAGAAGCCGTACGCCATTCGGCGCCAGGGCAGCTGAAGCCATGCGCCGACAGGGCACGGAGGTCAGCGCGCAGTGCGGCCGTCGAATGCAAACCTCGAGGCAAACTGATGCCACGTTCGTTCGTCTGCCATGCAGTCGACCAGGGCAGAGACGGAGCCAAAACTACTGCGAAGCAAAACTATTGCAAGACTACGCCGGGGGCGCCCGGGAGCCCGTCAACAAGAATCCGTCACAAACTCGACGCTCCCAAGTTTGAGCGTTAGCTTCCGCAACACGTCGCCTCCCTGCAGCGGCCGATCTTCTCAAACCATTATCATTGATGTCCTAGTAGATGGTCGCTGTAGGGTAGCGCGCCCGTTTCCAACACTGCTCTGTTCGATACTCCTGAAATACAAGAGTGCCGGATGTTCAAGATGTTCTGGAGACGCTGCGCTCGTAATCCAGCCAGGAGTCGCATATCGGATCCGTTTGCAAAATACGGCTCGGTTTCAAGATGTGGCTCTCGCCTTAGCGCCGTCGTTCTCAGAATATGGCTCTCGCCTTCGCGCCGCGCGCATTCGTCTTCAAAGATCGCAACAGCTTCAAGGACGGAGGGTCATTCCGATTTCTTTTCTAAATGTGGCTCTCGCCTGAACGTCGCGCACAATCGTCCTGAAATTTAGCCACAATTTCAAAGATTCGCACGGTTGAAGTCCCAGGAGTGGTGTTCTGGCATGGTTTAGGACGTTAACTCGTGGTGATTCAGTCCCCGGAATGGCGTTCGGGCACGATTCAGGATTGCAAAAACACAACAACCGCGCTGATTCGCGGCGTTGAAATCCCAGGCATGGGGCCCGTGGATAGGGGGCCGTGGATAGGGAACTTGAAGGGAGGCGTTATTGCAACATCGTTGGTGCGTCTTGGGTCTAAACTTGTTTTCCTCCTCCTCCTCCTCGTCATCCGCCGCCTCCACCTCCGCCACCGCCTCCTCCTCCTCCTCCGCCTCCGCCTCCGCCTCCTCCCAGTGCCACACACACGCGCAAGCGCATGCACACACTTGGGCGCGTGCTGTGGAGCAATCAATGCCTGGCCCCTGTTCTCCTTGCCCTCGAGCCCAGGCGGTGGAGACGGCAGAACACGACGCTGAGCGAAAGACCAACGAGATTTGCGCGCCCGAGACGGCTGGCAGCGCTCGAAGGAAGGAAGTCCAAAAGTGGACGGATGGACGCATGGACCAACTCTGGGCCAGCGGCGGGGGCGGAAGTGGCAACGAGGTTGAACTGCTGGTCCCCCTTACATATGGCAAGTGAAGAAACCATTCCAAGATTGGAGGAACGGGATCAGTCAGAGAAACCATAATGGATGCGTTCCGGGAGCTTACAACACTTGTCAACGCCTTCGTGTTCGTCCTCCTCATCCTCCATCTTCTTTGACACTGGACGTAGCGTGTCCTCTGATGCGCACGTTCTTCAATTCCACGCTCCAGGTGTGCGTGCCCACCACGGGCACCTCAGTCGCCGCGCCCAGCCAAGGCAGGATGCTCAAAGGAGGCCGTGGTTCAAAACGGGGGACAGGGTCGTCGTGAGGATGAGAGCTGGGCAGAGGAGACAGGAGAGGTCGGTATTGAGTTGAAGAGGGCAGCACGACTAAATGTTGAAATGAGACTTGCACCGGAAGGTGGCGAACGTGGATGCACATTCGCGAGCAGACGCCATTACGGCTAACGCTTTTTACCTCTAAGCCCCGCAATGGACTGAGGATTGCCCAGCGCCATTGTAAAGAAGCCCGCCGCAGGCTTCAATTGTCCCCGAAATCCGTCGCCCATAAGCAAACGCACTTCTGTTCAGACCGAATCATTGCCAAACCCACCCCAGCTCCGATCCCCTCATACAAGTCGATCATACGCAGACTCACTCATACACAAATCCCTTCGCATCCAAATTCGTCCAAACCCACTCACCCGTAGCAGGGCTCACTCTCACATCCAGCCTCGCCCACACCCAAGCTCAATCATATGTGCAACCTCGGGCCCACCCAGAGTCGTATTCAATCCAGCTGATGTCCACACATACTCAGCTACCCATAGTGAGACTCGCTCATACTCAGGCCCACTTACACTCCGACTCAGTCATGCCCACACCCGTTCGTATTTAGAAACATTCATACTCTGTCACTCATGTTCAGACGCACACACAGACACAGACTCTGACCCACTCATGCTCAGAGCCAGTCAGACTTAGATTCACTCGTACCGAGACCCACCCATGCTCAGACACACGCGTTCCCCAAGCAGTGTTTGCACATAGGGGCTATTATTCCCCATATCCTAAGATGGGGTTCTTGTTATTACTTGGACGCCTCCTACTCCCTCTCCTTCTCCCTCCCTTTCTTTCCTCCTCCCCTCCTGTCGGACTTACTCATGCTCAGACTTGCTCGTACTCAGACTTACTCATACACAGACATACTCATACTCAGACTTACTCATACTCAGACCTACTCATACTCAGACTTACTCACACTCAGACATACTCATACACAGACTTACTCATACACAGACTTACTCACACCCAGACGTACTCATACACTGACTCACTCATACCCAGACTTACTCATACACAGTATTAGTCATACTCAGACTTACTCATACCCAGACGTACACATACACATACTTTCTCATACCCAGACCTACTCATACCCAGACTTACTCATACACAGACTTACTCATACACAGACTTACTCATACTCAGGCATACTCATACTCAGACCTACTCATACTCAGACTTACTCAACACACATCAGATTTGGAGGATGTCTCAAGCGGGGCGCTGGTTTCAGCACCCCTAAGGGGAGCCGCCAGGGGTGGTTGCACGGGCTCGTTCGCGGCCATTTTGTGGGGATGTCTCAGGCGGTTTGCTTGTTTCTGGGCTCAACATCCTTCGCTTGGAGAGCAGATTGTGAGGATGTCTCAGGCGGGGCGCTGGTTTCAGCACCCCTAAGGGGAGCCGCCAGGGGTGGTTGCACGGGCTCGTTCGCGGCCATTTTGTGGGGATGTCTCAGGCGGTTTGCTTGTTTCTGGGCTCAACATCCTTCGCTTGGAGAGCAGATTGTGAGGATGTCTCAGGCGGGGCGCTGGTTTCAGCACCCCTAAGGGGAGCCGCCAGGGGTGGTTGCACGGGCTCGTTCGCGGCCATTTTGTGGGGATGTCTCAGGCGGTTTGCTTGTTTCGCCCAACATCCTTCGCAGAGCAGATTGTGAGGATGTCTTGTTTCAGCACCCCTAAGGGGAGCCGCCAGGGGTGTTGCACGGGCTCGTTCGCGGCCATTTTGTGGGGATGTCTCAGGCGGTTTGCTTGTTTCTGGGCTCAACATCCTTCGCTTGGAGAGCAGATTGTGAGGATGTCTCAGGCGGGGCGCTGGTTTCAGCACCCCTAAGGGGAGCCGCCAGGGGTGTTTGCACGGGCTCGTTCGCGGCCATTTTGTGGGGATGTCTCAGGCGGTTTGCTTGTTTCTGGGCTCAACATCCTTCGCTTGGAGAGCAGATTGTGAGGATGTCTCAGGCGGGGCGCTGGTTTCAGCACCCCTAAGGGGAGCCGCCAGGGGTGGTTGCACGGGCTCGTTCGCGGCCATTTTGTGGGGATGTCTCAGGCGGTTTGCTTGTTTCTGGGCTCAACATCCTTCGCTTGGAGAGCAGATTGTGAGGATGTCTCAGGCGGGGCGCTGGTTTCAGCACCCCTAAGGGGAGCCGCCAGGGGTGGTTGCACGGGCTCGTTCGCGGTCAGTTTGTGGGGATGTCTCAGGCGGTTTGCTTGTTTCTGGGCTCAACATCCTTCGCTTGGAGAGCAGATTGTGACGATGTCTCATACGCAATCACTCGCATTAGGGGTCACTCGTTTTCGTCGGCCCTGTCGCCCACGTGGACGCGCTATTGTAGTCGACCGCTCATGAACAGACGCTCACCACGGCATGACATAAAACATGAGATGCACATATGGGGAGCTCCACGCAGTGAGTAATTACACTTCTTGTCCTATATGACTACCTACCAGACCACCCCAACCCAACCCGAAGATCCGAATTTCGGGTTGGGGGGGTACGGGATCCATATGTGGTTTCTCAATGTTCCCCCACCCCACCCCCTACTGGAAATGGAGGGCAAATTGAGGCCTTCGGGTTGGGTTGGGGTGGTTTGGTGGGTGGTGACTATAGGAGTTAGATGGGTCTGCCGAGGCCTCGCCTGGTGGGCGCCCGTGGGCCGCCCGTGCGCCGGCTGGGTCTGCCGAGACTTCGCCTGGGGCGCGGCCTGGTGCGCCTCGTGGGCGCCCCGTGCGCTGGCTGAGTCCGCCGAGATCTCGCCAGGGTGCCCCGCGCGTTGGTGCCTGACGTGCGCCCCGCGCGTCACAGCGGAGGCCAGTCCACAAGAAACCTTCCACGAGAGACCCGACCCTGAGGCCCCAGGACGTCCAGTGATGTTTGGTGTGGGAACGACACGCTCTCCGTAGCAAAACCCTCGAAGCCCAAAAAACCCAGGGCACCCCGGAAGCAAGCAGGGTGTTTCTTGGCAGGGGCTTCCACTGCAGCAGGGTCTGCCCAGATTTCGCCTGCAGGTGCCCATGGGCGGCCCGTGCACTAATCCGCTGGGTCAGCCGAGATGTCGCCTGGTGCGCGGCCTGGTGCGCCTCGGGGGCGCCCTGTGCGCGGGGCGGGTCTGCCGACGTTTCGCCTGGATGGGCGGCCGTGGGCGCCTCGTGGGCGCCCCCGCGCGCTGGGCGGGTCTGCCGAGGTTTCGCCTGGTGGGCGGACGCGGGCGCGTCTGCTTGCATTGCATAACGTGCAGACGATCTTTTCCACACAGACCATATCGCTGGCTCCAGACAGCTGCAACCACAAACCTTGCAGCACACCTAGCTTGTCGCACCTTGCTTACACAGGTTTGGACCACACAAAATACAATCGGATGACACCCTAATATGAAAAATTCCATCATGGCACAAATAACGCAGCGTAATGCGATATACTACAGTAGCGCATACAATATATGATTCAAAAAACAGGTGCCTACTATACGACATAGAAAACCACAACGTGGTCTAACAATATGCTAGTTCATACCAAAATACAATACAACATGACAGGGTACAAATGGCGCGTGTCTGGCATGGCTCATGTACAAAAAGGAAGGGGACGAGGAGGAGGTGGAGGAGGGGGAAAAGGGGGCAAGACATCGCCTCTCGGGGCCCAGCAACGAGGCCCAAATCCAGGTGGGGAGGGAAGGAAATGGCGTGCGTCGCGACGCGGAATAAACTGCCCGGAGCGGAGGGGGCACGGGGCGGAGGTTCCATTGGGGCGCTGGGGGCGCGGAGAGGGTGGGGGGGAGGTGGTGTGCGTCGCGACGCGGAATAAAATGGTCGGGGCGGAGGGGGCTCTGGGCGGGGCTCGGGGCAGAGGGCCACGGGGCGGGGGTCCAATTGGGGGGGCGCTGGGGACTGGGGGGGGGGGAGGTGGCGTGCGTCGCGACGCGGGATAACATTGTCGGAACGGAGGGGGCACGGGGCGGAGCCCCACTGGGGCGCTGGGGACGCGGCCGCTGGGGCGCTGGGGACGCGGGGGGGCTCGGGGCAGAGAGCCACGGCGCGGGGGTCCCACTCTGGCGCTGGGAACGCGGGAGGGAGGGGAGGGGGGGGGGCGGGGGGCGACGCGGAATAAAGCGTTCGCGGCGGAGGGGGCAGTGGGCGGGGTTCCCGCTGGGGCGCTGGGGACGCGGGGGGGCCCGGGGCAGATGGCTACGGCGCGGGGGTCCCACTCTGGCGCTGGGGACGCGGGGGGGGGGGGGGGGCGACGCGGAATAAAGCGGTCGGGGGTCTAGACACCCTGTGAAAAAAAAAGAATACTGTGACATAGTGTTGTGTAATGTTTGAACAGGTATGAACGAATAGACAAAAACATACCCGATAATAGAATCATGTATGATAGTATGTGTTACATCATAGTGTAATAGAATTTGGATATACTCGAACAAAATATGCAGTGAGTATTAAAGGCTACACCCGAATCAAAACTGTTCGGCCGTACTGCTCATAAAATAAAAAATAGATGTGATATATGTATATATATAAATATGATACCATGATATCATTTGACATTCAGTGGTGCCACATAACGTACTATGGCACAATTGGCATAATAGTGTATACTACAAACCATCATGGCATGCTGGATCACGATATGATATGGTATGACGTATGACATGGTTTAAACGACAAAAAATGTAATGGAATAAGTCACACTAGTCGGTATATGATCGTATGTCATGGTGTAATGGAATGAATATAAAAGATATATGCCCTGATAGAATACGATACGACATAATAGCCCGATAAGTATATAAGATGAACCATAACGCAGCATATCACAATCACAATAGAGTCTACGACCCTATGATACAATACGATATCATACAACCGAAAAAAAAACGCAACATGATATGCGAATATCTCACACAATGTAAAATGATACGATCGTATACACAGTTTCCGACATGTCGATATAAGCATACAGATGCCTACATTATGTATGTGTACCTAATCATACTCGGCCAGCTAATCGACGCACGTTCTCGTACACGCATTCTCAAACACATCCTTATGTACCATCCGCACTCGGATTCACACTTCAATTCACATCTACCGAATCGCCCATACGTTCGGATACATAGGTATACATATAACCAGCCCAATGTATGCACATATGTATTATACATATACGCGCGCACTAGAACCTCGCGCGCGCCTCGCGCGCCAGATTCTGAGCAAAGACCACGGCTGCGCGTCGGCAGCGGACCAGCGACGATAAAATTTCATATGGT